GGACTGGTTAGATCTACCGGCAACAACAGAGGGCACGGAGATGGGGCATACGTACACCTTGAAATGGTTGCATGTGCGGGGACCCCTCGAACTCCAACAGAGCGACACATGTTGCTGGGGGCTCCGTACTGCTTTTTTTCGCATTTTCTCGACGCTTTCGAGATTTGTCATTATTATTTTGCGTACCCCCGTTGCTCGCCAAGGGGGAGGGGAAAAGAGCGGAGACCAGGCAGGGCAACACCACACACGCCCCCGGTCTACTCCTTACGATCAGCCTATAAACATCAGCCACCCAACAGACAGAGACATATAGACTCTGTCTGCCCCCCATAACCGCTGATAGTACCACACTGGCTTGTTCATACTGAAACCACGAGAGAACCCCACTAGGCCCATCAACATTAGTATTGCCATTTGGCGAAACACCCGGGCCACCAAAGAAAAAGCCCATTTCTCGTCTCTCGCTACTCTCTGTTCCCCTGACCTTCCCATCGCACTGCAGAAAAACACGCATGTACCCGGACACCAGGACACCCACATACAAGCCATATAATATGTATGCGTATCCACCAATCAATCAGACTCGCCACGCACGTAACGGGGAAGCGCGCAGCACCAACATAGCCACACACAGCAGCCAGGAGTGCACTCCCCCAACCAACCATGCAACGGTCCGATACACCCAACAACATGCGTCCTGCATATATATACAACCTGAAATGCGATATACACAAATCCCACTCAAAAATAAATGGGACGAGCACCTCGGAACTGCGCCCAGCATGGGCACACGCAATCCCGACTGCGGCTACACAGTGAGTTCCCCCCGACGGGCACTCACCCTGAACACAACGCCGCTGCTCCTATTTCCATCTCCACTGACACCCCCAAAAGCAAGGGTGGGTGGGTGGGAAAAAGAAACGTCACGGCAGAAAACAACCCACGGCAGAAAACAACCCTTGGCCACCACACGCGCACGTGCTCGCGCTCGCCCCCGGTGAATTGTTCGTGCGTGGAGGTAGATTAGTCGGATTGTACCAAATCACTGGCGGTTTCGTGTACCGCAGATGGGATTGCCTTGAGGAGCGGCAGGGACAGACCTTGAGATACGAGTTGCGGGCCCCCTTTTCGACTGGCTTTGGGCCTGGCACTCTTCCTCCCTCCTTCTCCCTCATGTCCCCCTACGATAATACATGCCGTTAACAACACTCTTTGGACTCTGGAGGTCACACAACAAGGGCATACCAACATAAATAAACACGGCGAAGCGAATAGACTGAAAACAGAAACCAACACGCTCTTCGGCTTCCTGCTTTCTGATTGGCCAAAGGTTTATTTCTGCCGCTTCTCACAAAACGCAGATTTCCCTTACTTC